GCCGCCGGGCGCGGGCGGCTGGCGGCCGCGGGGGCCACCACCGGCGGAGGAGCCGCCGGCGGTCGGGTCGATCCATAAAGGGACAATCGCGAGCTCCCGGGCATTTGGCATCTTCATCAGCATCCCCAGCTACAGACGGCAGGTGCTGGTTCACCACACGCAGGTGTGAGCAAAAAACATAGGGCGAGGGGCGTGCGCCCACCTCGTTTCCTGGCGTGCAGGTCTTATCTGAGTGGGGGTTGGGCGGCCCCGCGAAAGTGGGGGCTGTGGCTGTCTCCGCGTGCAAAGGCGGTAGGCCGAGATGCGTGCCTTGCGGCGACATCGGCGGCCACGGCGGGCGCGGGTGGTGTGGCAAAGCGCAACAAGGAGCAACACAGCCGCTGTCGGGATGCATGCTGATGCGGTTGATCGACCCACCGACCACCAGTGACCGCATTTGCGACCTGTTCGGCACGCACTCAACTGTCACGTTATAATACGCATCATTACATGACGTGGAATAATGAATCAGGTAGCGGAGGACATCCGGTTCTCGAGGGAGGATGCTGACGAGGACAAGGTCAAGGCGCTGGAGGTGGGCCCGGCTGTTGAGCGGCGGTTGGAGCGGTTGGGCCCGGCCCGGCCAGGGGTCAAGGGCGGCCGGGGCGGTTTGGGCGATTGAGGGCAGCTCTGGCCGTCCCAGAGCGCGCGCGGCGTCGCGCAAAAGGCATGTACAGCGGCCACAACCCTGCAAAGTCACCGGCTCACAATGAACCATCCATCTCACATCCTGTGAAGTGACCTGTCTGTGCGTCCTCTTAACCCCATCACCCCATCCGCCCGCTCAGTTCCTGTTCCCCCGCGGCAGCCCCGCCTTTGTCAAAATCCTGTCAGCGGAGCCGGACGGCTCCGGGGGCTTCAAGGTCAACGGCAGCATGCGCGCGGTTGACCAGGAGAGCGGCGCCGATCTGGACCCGACGGGGCAGCTGGCGGCGGCGGGCAGGGGTGAGGGCCCGGGCTAAGGGGCCTGCGGCGAGCGCAGTCAGTGTCTTTGCCGGGTGCTTGCGTGCCATGGCATGGAAGCGGCGATCTCATGGGTCGTTTCAAGGTTGGGGAGCTGTCGGGTGGGTCAACTGCACGTCCCCGCAGCTTTGACCAGCTGTGACCAGCGGCGGTGCCTCCGCGCCGACCCCGCGCGCCGCGTGACGACTGCCACCTGCTCCCGCTCCCCGACCCGCCCACGCGCGTGCGCGCAGGCGGCGGCGGCCCCGGTGGCGGCGGCCCTGGCGGCGGGTCGGACGAGCCGCCTGAAGAGGGCAGCATACACCGCGGCGTGGTGCGGCGCATCGAGGCGTACGGCATATTCGTGGCACTTGAAGGATTCCGCAAGCACGGCTTGGTGCACTCGTCACAGGTGGGGGTGTGGGGTGTGCTTTTGGGCCTGTGCGCTTCTCAGTTGTGTGCGTGTATCTGGTTATGTGCATGAGCTTGTATGGGTGTGTGTAGGTGTTGAGTGTGGGCGTGTTCGTGTGGTGTGTGTGTGTGTGTGTGTGTGTGTGAGTGCAGGTGTGGGGGTAGGTATGGGGGATCTTTTTGTATGTGTGCGTGTGTGTGTGTGTGTGTGTGTGTGTGTGTCTGCGTCTGTGTCTGTGTATACGTGCGTGTGTGCGTTTTTGGGATGCACGCGCCTGCACATGAACAGTGATGAGTGCCATGTATGTGAGGAGGGTGGGCTGGTTTGCGGTGATGTGCATAAGGACCATTTTGGGCCTCATGTGCTTGTTTGCGGTGCGCATACCCTCGTGTGTGGGCATGCGAGCATACACGAGCATGTGCGCGCGCGCACGCGTGCACACACACACACACACACACACCCGTGCACACACACACACACACACACA